AATCTGGCGCCTCAGAGCACCAAAAAACATTTTCTGAAATTTTTTTATGAGGACCTCTGTAATGAGTTGGGAACCACCACTTATACTCACACTATTTCTTAACGCTTATTTCCGCATTTACTGACCCTTTTTTAGGAATTACGTAATTTTTTTCAATTTTTGGGTGTATTAGCCTATGGATCTGGCACATTGGAGCACCCAAATTTTTTTCTGAAAAAAACTTTATGAGGAATTTTGTAATGAGTTGGAGATCACCATGTATACTCACACCATTTTTAACGACTATTTCTGCATTTATAGATTCTTTTTTAGAAATTACGCAAATTTCTCGATTGTTCGTGTATATTAGCCCATGAATCTCGCGACTCGGAGCACCCAAAATTGTTTTCTGAAAAAATTCTATGAGAACCTCTGTAGTGAGTAAGGGAACCACCACATATACTCACACCATTTTTAATGATATTTTCGCATTTACAAGCCCTTTTTTATGAATTATGCAAATTCCTTGATTTTTCGTGTGTATTAGCCTTTGAATCTGGCGCCTCAGAGCACCCGAAAAAAAATTCTAAAAAAACTTTATGAGGACTTCCAAAATGAGTTAGGGAACCAGCATGTATACTCATACCATTTTTTAACGCCTATTTTTGCACTTACCGACCCTTTTTTTTTTTATAGGAATTATGCAAATTATTCGATTTTTCATGTGTATTAACCCATGAATATATTGGTGATATGGCTTTCGGACGAAATTTTTGCAAAACTCTTTATGGAACCCTTCAAAGGGAGTTGGGGGAGCAGTACGTACAATCTTACCATTTTTAGAGTGATTTATGGCCATTAAGGAGTCAATTTTTATTAGTTAGGCGATTTTCTCAATTTTTCATGTGTGTTAGCCGATTAATATTTTGGTGATATGACATATAGATGAATATATTACGAAACCTTTATGGAATTCTCTGTAGGGAGTTGGGGAAGCATTACGTACAGTCTCACCATTTTTAGAGTGAACTTTGGGCATTTAGAGGCCAATTTATAGTAATTATGTGATTTTCTCTATTTTCTGTGTGTGTTATCCCATGAATAATTTGGTGATATGATTCCGAACGAATTTTTTTCGAACCTTTATGGTACCCTCCGCAGGGAGTTGGTGGGGCAGTACGTACAGTCTCACCATTTTAGAGTGATATGGCGGAGAAATAACTCCTAATAACCCAAAATATATCTGAAAAATGCCGAGGAGACGTATTGCTTTCCCAACTTCCTACAGAGAGTTACGTAATAAATTTGCACAAAAATCGACCATCAATCACAGCACCAAAATATTCATGGGCTAACTGTGCCAACACAAACCCAATAGCATAGATGGAATTTGGAATGATAATTATGTGCCAACACAAACACCCATTTTTACCACAACTTTTCATTCACATTAAAGCTAGAAATGGCAGAAGAAATGATGAACAACAAACAGATCATTCTAAAACATTATGTGGAAGGTTATCCTAAGGAATCTGATATGGAATTTAAGAATAACAACATTAAATTGAATGTTCAAGAAGGTTCTAATGTTGTTGTTTTGAAGAATCTTTACTTGTTTTGTGACCCTTACATGCGAACCGTATGAGCAAACTTGAGGGTAGCTATATTCAATCTTTCACTCCTGGTTATGTAAGTATTTCAACAATTTACTACCACACATATGATTATTTAGTTGATATATATTATACGTTCAAATTTCGAGGGTCAAAAAATATATTTAATGTATGTTTATAAGTAGGTGTTTGAATTAACTTATTTTAAACAGTTTTTGGCTTTTAATCTTCTTTTTAATTTTTTTGAAGGTGTTCGATAAGGCTGAAAAAAAAATACAAAAGTAAGTTAAAAGTTAAAAGTCTGAGTATTCTCAACTCATGATCTCTTTTAAGTTTTTGCTTATAAGTTACTTAAAACAAAGTCAATCTAAACAACCCTTGATCGTGAATCTGGGAAGGGTGGTGAGTATTAGCTTAATTTCTATAGTAGAAAGATTATTTTCAAAAGACTTTCAAAATCAAGTTTAAATTTTGAGAGTTGAACTTGTTAATTTTGATCTGGATTTGGATATAAAATCTTTAAATAGTGTAGACCTTGATTGTTTCAATTTAACATTATTGGTGTGTTCAGTATATATACTTTTCAAGAAAATATATAAGTGATTTTCTTACTTATTTTTTTGTCCGTAGCCTATTACAGGATACGGAGTGTCTAAAGTTTTGAAATCTGGTGATTCAAATTTTCAAGAAGGTGACTTAGTTTGGGGAATGACTGGATGGGAGGAATATAGTATTGTAACAACTACTCAAAGTATGTTTAAAATTGATCATGACAAGGATGTGCCTCTTTCCTATTATACAGGAATCCTTGGTGAGTGTTTTCGACTGGGTTAAAGTATTACATAATTAGTTGGGGTCTCTACTTATATGGATTTGAAAAAATTAATTTTCGGGGTTGAGTTAGACCAAGCGTCATAACTTTACATGATATATATCTATATATGAACCCTATTTGGGATCTTGGTCCACACTCTCCAGTTGGGCTTGGACTTGAAGGGAGTGCTAGAGTCCCACAATGGTACTACAACAAAAACAGCTTTTAGCGGCAATAAATAGACACATTAATAAAGAGTGCTAAAGTCTTTCCCGGCATTAGTTAAATGTCATTAGATTAAATGTCACTAAAGGCTTTAGGGGGATATACAAAGAGTGCTAATTGCCGCTAAAAATACATATTTAGTGGCAATTGAGCTATTACCGTTAATTAATTGCCACTAAAGATCGTTTTTGATGTAGTATGGTTGGTTGGGGAATAGATTGATAATCGGCTTATATGGACTCGGACAATAATCTTCTGCTCTTGCAGGGATGCCTGGGGTGACAGCTTATGCTGGTTTTTATGAGGTTTGCTCCCCTAAGAAGGGAGAAACTGTGTTGTTGTTGGTAGTGCTGGAAATAATTAAACAAAAGGTAAGTACTTAAACATTTCATTCCTTGAATTTTATTAGAGGCTTATAAGTTATCTTACTTATCTTAATCATTGTTAAATAATCTAGCTATCTCATCTATTCATTATTATTATTAAAGGTTGATATGTTGAAGACCAAGTTTGGTTTTTGATGAAGCTTTTAACTATAAAGAGGAGCAGAATTTAGATGCAGCTTTGAAGAGGTAAGTAATCTTATAAATTCCCACAAGAAAACACTAACTAATATGAAAAAAAAATAGTTTCCAGGGTGAAGGTGTTGGGGACTTTTTTTTTTTGCTTCTTTTATTTTAAGCCATCATTTTAACGGTGTGGGGGGTTAGGCTTGACCCCTACTATGTCTACAACATCCAAAAAGTTACAAAAGCAGAGGGGACATGGACCTAACCTCTGATAGAGAACAACGAGGATAAACTAAACAATCTACGGTAAGACTAAGATGACATAGACTTTCATACTATAAGCAAAATACATTGGTTCAACTAACAAAAAAAATTACATTTGTTGTATCTTCTCCTTATGCTAAAGTTGCCACTTATCTAGTAGAAATAGTCCCTTCACCTCAGAAGAATTGTGTGTGGTGGATTGAACATTAAGGGCATATATGAAAAGATAGCTAATATAACGCTAAAGGTATATATGAACTGATTGTATAACGGAAAGCAATACTAGACCTTTAATTTTCGATAATATAGGAGTAAATATGACTTTTTTTCGTATTGGTTTATTCTATTAGGTACTTCCCTGATGGAATTGATATATACTTTGAGAATGTTGGAGGTAAAATGCTTGATGCAGTTCTTGTGAATATGAAACTTCATGGTCGTATTGCTGTGTGTGGAATGATTTCACAATACAACCTTGACAAGACTGAAGGAGTGCACAACTTGTTTTGCCTCATCGCGAAACGAATCCGTATGGAAGGATTTTTTGTTTTTGATTACTATCATCTTTATCATAAATATCTTGAAATGATCATTCCACAAATAAAGTCTGGTAACATTGTGTATGTGGAAGACATAGCTGAAGGTTTTGAAAGTGCTCCTAGTGCTCTAGTTGGTCTCTTCTCTGGTCTCAATGTTGGAAAGCAAGTTGTGATGATTTCATGTGAATGAATGGATTTGGATCTTTTCCATTTTCTCTCAAGTTTTTACTTGAAAGGAAAGATATTGTGTCATGGTTAAATACTTAAATACGCAAACATTTCTCATGTATTTACTAATTCTCTGTATGGTTTGAAATATTTAGTCATTAATTGATAATTTCATACTAGATTTCAAGTCAGTTGTACCTAAGTACATGTATTTTTGCTACTAGATACATTCTGAAATGCAGATACATAGGAAGAGAGGGAGTGAGAGAGGAGAAGGAGAGATGAGAGAGGCGAGAGGCAAGCAAAAGAGTTAGTGTATCCCAGATATATGCAAATTACACTAGATAATCTGAGATATCATATACAATTCATAAACATTCTGAAATACAGATACATAAGGAGAGAGGCGAGCGAGAGAGGGAGAGAGGCGAGCAATATAAGAGATATGAGTGAGAGATTCAGTGTTTCCAGATACATATAAATTATGCTTGAATACAGTATATCAGAAATAAATTGGACCTAATTTTAATTAATATATCCAAGATACATATATTTGGATGTGTCGCATACATGCGTTTGGGAACTGACACAAATAATACTTTCAAAGAGGCACATAATTAGACTCTAAACTAAAGAAATTCTTATTATTTGCCCTTGAACTTATTTAGGCAAATAAAAGGTCGGAAGAGATTTAAGATTGCGAGATTAATAATAATTTATAAAATTAAATATATAATATAGTATTAATTATCTAAATCATAAAAAAGATTTATTTTGATTAACTAAATCTTAGTCATTAAATTTTACTTATATCAATTTAGGGGGGGGAAATGAAGAGGAGTCGGATCCAGATATATTCTTCAACAACTCTTGATTTACAAAGTGAGAAATGGCAGAGGAAGTGATGAACAACAAACAGATCATTCTAAAACATTATGTGGAAGGTTACCCTAAGGAATCTGATATGGAATTTAAGAATAATAACATTAAATTGAATGTTCAAGAAGGTACTAATGTTGTTGTTTTGAAGAATCTTTACTTGTCTTGTGACCCTTACATGCGTTCACGCATGAGCAAACTTGAGGGTTGCTATGTTCAATCCTTCACTCCTGGCTCAGTAAGTCGTTCACTTATTTTATTGAGTCGCCCTTATAAATAACGATGTTGGATTTATCGATGTAAATTTTATGTTTCCTTCGCCATGTTATGATTGTGGATTATTTTTCCTTAATTAACATACAAGCATTTCTAGTTATTGTTGAAACAATTTACAAGTGAGTTTAAATTTCCCATGCAATTGTGTAGACCTTGGATGTTTTTTATTTAACATTATATAGGGGTTTTGGTAATGATGAGTATATTTTTTTAGAAAATGAATGAGTTTCATATATATTTTCTTATATTTAATATGCGCAAGTAAAAAATATTTGTGTATAATCTAGATAAATACTATGTCAAGTAGGCGTGTGCAGGGGCGGAGCCACGTAGGCTCCAGGGTGTCCAATTGGACACCCTTCGTACGAAAAATTATACTACATATACATGTAAATTTTTGACTTTATATTGGTATATATAGAATTTGGACCCCCTGAAATAACAAAGTGATGCGCAGTGGAGTTGGCAATAGCCTGTGCAATCCTACTCTTTGTCTTGGTTCGAATCCCCGCAGGGATTTTTTCTTTTTCTGTAATTATTTTTACTTCTTAAATTCAATCAAGTAAATAAACATGCGTAATTTAAACATAAAAGTTCAGTAGCTTGGTGGTTAATAGTATCATGAAGGTCTCCAAGACCCAAGTTCGAATCCCTCCTCTACTAACTATTTTTTTTCAATTAAAATTGAATCATTTCCCTAAATTTTAGTACCTTTTCCTTGTAGAATAAGATTTCCTTAAATTTAATACTTTTTCTTGTGGATTTTTTTCAATTAAAATTGAATTATTTACTTAAATTTTAATACATTTTCCTTGTAGAATAAGATTTCCTTAAATTTAATACTTTTTCTTGTGGATTTTTTTCAATTAAAATTGAATTATTTCCTTAAATTTTAATACATTTTCCTTATGGAATAAGATTTCCTTAAATTTTAATACTTTTCCCTTATGGAATAAGGTTTTCTTTCTCTATAAATAGGAGACTCATTTACCCAAATATCACAATATTATTAAGAATAGAATCTCAATAATTCTCTCTTTGTTTTTTCTTCTCGTTCTCTTATTTTATAACAAAAACAAAAAACTTAATATTTTAGTTTCAAGTTTCAATAGACATGAAGAATTATTATAATAGAGTACCAAAAAAAAGTTCGATATGGAATTTAAGAATAACAACATTAAATTGAAACAATTTACAAGTGAGTTTAAATTTACCATGTAATTGTGTAGACCTTGGATGTTTTCTATTTTAACATTATATATCTAGGGGGTGTTTGGTAATGATGAGTATATTTTCTTAGAAAATGAATGAGTTTCATATATATTTTCTTATATTTAATACGCGTAAGTAAAAAATATTTGTGTATAATCTAGAATACTATGTCAGGTAGGCGTGTGGGATATATACTGTTTCCCGATGGGGATGAGAGTGTAGATAAAGTGTGTTAGAGAATGGGGAGGACACAACTGAAGTGGAATTTCATTTGTGAAACTTATTTTCCTACTTCCAGGCAGGGGCGGAGCCAACCTTCTGTTAGGGGTTCATCTGAACCCCCTTTGACAAAAACATTACTATTTATACATGATTAAAATTATTTTTTATGTATATATAATAGATGTCGAACCCCCTTCAGTTAGTTCGTGTGTTTATTTCTTCAGCTATTGAACCCCCTTATTAAAAATCCTAGGTCCGCCACTGCTTCCGGGATAACTTTTACTATACGAACATGAAAAAATTATTGGCCATACGAGTTTGATATAGCCCATTTGATACCTTCGTATCCGAGTTCTCAAAATCTCACTTCAAAGGTGTTGAGTTGGAATCCCATTCTAACTAACGATTCTTGTGGTTCCAGAGGATCCAACTACAGGAGAACCCAGGAACTCGAAGGGCTCCCCCCCCCCCCCACCTGTTCCGCCCAACTCTTTGGTCTTAAGAACGCTGGCTTATTGAACAGGGTTCTATGGTCGGTCCGTGACCCCCGGATGCCAAAGTCATCCTTGGGTGATCTCTTAGTTCCTACGGGGTGGAGATGCTGGGGTTGGTCCAAGGATTTTCCTTCCTTTTCTTTTGCCGCATTTCTCTCAAAGGGTTGAAGGGAGATAGTGCATCAAGTTGTTTGCAAGGGCCAACTTGATCCTATTCCCCAGGGATCTCCGATTAGGGAACCCTGGGAGAGAAAAATGTTTCCACTGCGCACCCTATTTCATTTTTCATTTCTTGTTCAAGAACTCTTAGATGTTAGAAACATTGAGGTTAAGTGAACTTCATTCTCCCAACTGAATGTTTATTCCTTATGTATATATGATATGAATGGATTAACAATTTGTCCTATGATAATGTTTCTCATAAGTACTTTTCTTTTCTGTTATATTATAGCCTATCACAGGATGTGGAGTGGCTAAAGTTTTGAAGTCTGGTGATTCAAATTTTCAAGAAGGGGTAGTGGTGATTTTGGTGGTGGAGAAGATAGGTATGTTCCATTTGAGGTGGAGAATGGTTCATCGAGTCATCGAGGATCTATCAATGATGATATTGAATGTGGTGATAGTGATGATGATGATGATGATGATAATCGCTCAGCTTTCTAGGATTACCATGACTCACCACAGCTAGTTTCAAAGAATGGTGTTGGACAATTTGCAAAGATGTTAGGTTGTTGTGTTGTTGGTAGTGCTGGAAATAAACAAAAGGTAAGTACTTAAGCATTTCATTCTTGAATTTTATTAGTGGCTTATAAGTTATCTTACTTATCTTAATTAATCATTGTTAAATAATCTAGCTATCTCATTTATTCATTATTAATTAAAGGTTGATATGTTGAAGACCAAGTTTGGTTTTGATGAAGCTTTTAACTATAAAGAGGAACATGATTTAGATGCAACTTTGAAGAGGTATGTAATCTTATAAATTCCCACAAGAAAACACTAACTAAAATGGAAAAAAAATAGTTTCCAGGGTGAAGGTGGTTGGGGACTTTTTAATTTTTTTTTTTTAACCCATCACCTTAACGGTGTGTGTGTGTGTGGGGGGGGGGGGCTTGACCCCTACCATGTCTATAACATCCAAAAAGTTACAAAAGCAGAGGGAGACATGGACCTAACCTCTTGATAGTGAACAACGAGGATAACCTAAGATGACATAGACTTTCATACTATAAGCAAAATACGTTGGTTCAACTAACAAAAAAAATTACATTTGTTGTATCTTCTCCTTATTCTAAAGTTTCCACTTATCAAGTAGAAATAGTCCCTTTCACCTTAGAATTAGAATTGTGTGTGGTGGATTGACATTTCATTTTGGTTAAAATGAATGGGATTAATGATAAATGAAGATTTGAACCACTTCTGTAACATTAAGGGCATATATGAAAAGATAGCTAATATAACGCTAAAGGTATATATGAACTTATTGTATAACGGAAAAGCAATACTAGACCTTTAATTTTCGATAATATAGGGGTAAATATGACCTTTTTTCGTATTGGTTTATTCTATTAGGTACTTCCCTGATGGAATTGACATATACTTTGAGAATGTTGGAGGTAAAATGCTTGATGCAGTTCTTGTGAATATGAAACTTCATGGTCGTATTGCTGTGTGTGGAATGATTTCACAATACAACCTTGACAAGACTGAAGGAGTGCACAACTTGTTTTGCCTCATCGCGAAACGAATCCGTATGGAAGGATTTCTTGTTTTTGATTACTATCATCTTTATCCTAAGTATTTGGAAATGATCATTCCACAAATAAAGGCTGGTAATATTGTGTATGTGGAAGACATAGCTGAAGGTTTTGAAAATGCTCCTAGTGCTCTAGTTGGTCTCTTCTCTGGTCTCAATGTTGGAAAGCAAGTTGTGATGATTTCATGTGAATGAATGGATTTGGATCCTTTCCATTTTCTCTCAAGTTTTTACTTGAAAGGAAAGCTATTGTGTCATGGTTTAAATACTTAAATACACAAACATTTCTATCATGTATTTACTAATTCTCTGTATGGTTTGAAATAATAAGTCATTAATTGATAGTTTCATACTAGATTTCAAGTCAGATATACCAAGGTACATGTATTTTTGCTACTAGATACATTCTGAAATGCAGATACATAGGAAGAGAGCGAGTGAGAGAGGAGAAGGAGAGATGAGAGAGGCGAGAGGCAAGCGAAAGAGTTAGTGTATCCCAGATATATGCAAATTACACTAGATACATGTATCTGAGACTAGATACATGTATTTGAGATATCATATACAATTCATAAACATTCTGAAACAAAGATACATAAGGAGAGAGGTGAGCGAGAGAGGCGAGCAAGATAAGAGATATGAGTGAGAGAGTCAGTGTTTCCAGATACATATGAATTACCCTTGAATACAGTATATCAGAAATAAATTGGACCTAATTTTAATTCATATATCCAAGATACATATATTTGGATGTGTCGCATACATGTGTTTGGGAACGGAAATCTGACACAAACATTAATTTCAAAGATGCACATAATTAGACTCTAAACTAAAGAAATTCTTATTGTTTTCCCTTGAACTTATTTAGGCAAATAAAAGGTCGAAAGAGATTTAAGATTGCGAGATTAATAATAATTTATAAAATTAAATATATTATGTAGTATTAATTATCTAAATCATAAAAAAGATTTATTTTGATTAACTAAATCTTAGTAATTAAATTTTATTTATATCAATTTAGGAAAAATAAAATGAAGAGGAGCCGGATCCAGATATATCCTTGGACAACTCTTGATTCACATAAATTGAAGTGAGAAATGGTAGAGGAAGTGATGAACAACAAACAGATCATTCTAAAACATTATGTGGAAGGTTATCCTAAGGAATCTGATATGGAATTTAAGAATAACAACATTAAATTGAAACAATTTACAAGTGAGTTTAAATTTCCCATGTAATTGTGTAGACCTTGGATGTTTTTTTATTTAACATTATATAGGGGTGTTTGGTAATGATGAGTATATTTTCTTAGAAAATGAATGAGTTTCATATTTATTTTCTTATATTTAATACGAGTAAGTAAAAAATATTTGTGTATAATCTAGATAAATACTATGTGAGGTAGGCGTGTGGGATATATATTGCTTTCCGGTGGGGATGAGAGTTTAGATAAAGTGTGTTAGAGAACGGGAGGAGGACACAATTGAAGTGGAATTTCATTTGTGAAACTTATTTTCCTACTTCCAAGATAACTTTTACGATATGAACATGAAAAAATTACTGGGCATACGAGTTTGATACCTTCGTATCCGAGTTCTCAAAATCTCACTCAAAAGGTTCTGAGTTGGAATCCCATTCTAACTAAGGATTCTTATGGTTCTGGAGGATCCAACTACATGAGAACCAGGAATGGAGGGCTTCACCCCCCTCCCCCCCTTCCGCCTGACTCTTTGGTCTTAAGAACGTTGGTTTTAAGAATGAGTCATTGCCCTTCTCCGACCCTGACTGCCCAACCTTAGAGCGGACAGCTAATGCGTTCCACTTATTGAACAGGGTTCTATGGTCGGTTTGTGACCCCCGGATGCCGAAGCCATCCTTGGGGTGATCTCATAGTTCCTACGGGGTGGAAATGATGGGATCGGTTCATGGATTTTCCTTCCTTTTCTTTTGTTGCATTTCACTCAAAGGGTTGAATGGAGATAGTGCATCAAGCTTTTCGCTAGGGCCAACTTGATCCTATTCCCCAGAGATCTCAGATGAGAGATATCTGGGAGAGAAAAATGTTTCCTCCGCGCACCCTATTTCATTTTTCATATCTTGATAATGTTTCTCATAAGTACTTTTCTTTTCTATTATATTATAGCCTATCACAGGATGTGGAGTGGCTAAAGTTTTGAAGTCTGGTGACTCAAATTTCCAAGAAGGGGTAGTGGTGATTTTGGTAGTGGAGAAGATAGGTATGCTTCATTTGAGGTGGAGAATGGTTCATCGAGTCATCGAGGATCTATCGATGATGATATTGAATGTGGTGATAGTGATGATGATGATGATGATAATCGCTCAGCTTTCTCGGATTACCATGACTCACCACAGCTAGTTTCAAAGAATGGTGTTGCTGAAATTGATGTGTTGAAGACATTTTTCTTATACTTGTATGGTATTGTGTCAGCTTGTTCTTGACATTGTAAGTATTGAATTTCGTCGCGTTTTGTCCTTTTTTCATTGATGTGTATTGAATTATTTGTAGTAATGATTATATATTAGAGATTCATATGCCAGTAGAAAATGTCGAGAACTTTTTATTTCGTAAAATGTTGGCCTAAGATGAATTGAGATGGGGAACATGATCAATGAGGACTGAGACGTAGTAGTTATTGTTGTTGTTTTTGTGTATTGAAGCTTCAGAAATTTTGTAGTCATTCTTATACGTTTACTTTAGGTCCTGTGCTTTCTAGGCGTCATTTCGTCCTATAAATTAGAGATTCCTATGCAAGTAGGTAATATAGAGAACGTCTAGTACTGTTCATGATTATGTTTATTTCGTAAAGTGTTGTCCTGAGGTGAATTTAAGTGGGGAACTTGATCACATATAGACGATCCCAGCTTGTTTTAGACTGAGTGTTGTTGTTTATTGAAGCTTAAAGGATGTTTTTGCTCTTCTTATGTGTTGACATGGGGAATAGATACAATAAAAGTCTTCTTGGGGATAAACTAGGGAAGTTAATTCCCTGCGCCTTTACTGATGAACACTGTGCACTTTGCGATGCAAGCTGTTTTGTCCAAGGCCATTACCGGGTTTTGGCATCAAAGATTTCAACCTACAGTGATGATGTCTTGGAGAGACTATTCTTTGAAAGGTAACATTAAGACTAATAATTCCCTTTTTTCTTTGGTTATGATTGAGTAGAAAGCTAAAAGTATTTGGAAGGCATATGATGATATAGAGTAGGAAATATGTGTACAATGTGTTTATGCACTTCTCCAGTGGATTTGTTTACGAAACATAGAAAGACGAGAGTAGGATTATTAACGAGCTTGAATGTATGTGGATCTTATGAGTTGACAGCTTCAATTAGCCATAGTTTGTGACTTAGTTAAGCCCACATGTTACACTTATTAGCTTATTACTGATATATCGACAATGGTTTCAAATGAACTTTTATGTACACAAATAGAGGCAGTTCCTGTTACGTACGAGAATCTCAATTTTTATCCAAGTTAGTTCTTCATGAGTTCAAGACATATAATCTCTTATGTCTTTCATTTCTAACCTTTATGTAGGAATCTTTTTCCACGATATCTTAATGTCGTCTATAAATACTGGCTTTCAATATTATCCTGTTAATTGTTATGTTCACTTCTTAACAACTAATACTATAGACGGCCTTTGCCTTTCACAGTTGTACCGACAGCTCTTACAACAGCAATGAATGTGAACCTCAGCAATGCATCCCTTGTTTTCATCTCAGTCACATTTGCCACTATGGTGTGTAACTCTTTCTCCTTAATATTTTTTCGATCATACAGTTTGTGTCAATACTGATAGACTGCAATTTTTTCTTCAAAAATTGAGCTCTGAGAAAGCATGTTTGTTAAACTCACGACCTTAACATTCGTCGAGGGCTCTAGTATTTGCATTTATGTACCTTGAAATTTAGCAGTCACAACCCTCTGCCACTAAAGTAAGTGTGATTGTCAAAGCCTTCAAGGGCCACTCAAATAATCGTCTATTATCGATAAGAATAACAGATTTCTTACTTTGTTTTCTCCTTCCTTATTCTGATACGAACTCTCTGCCCATCTTTCTCCTATTCTTCGCATTTGCTTTCAGGTACTACTTTTAACCACTGATCTCTTATGTTTTATTGTGCTTTTTTATGGGGGGTAGCGGGCCAGAAGCATCGAATTTCTACTTGATCCTTTGTTATAGATGTACATCCAACAATATTATTCATAAATGCAACTTTTTTTTCCATATGAGGACTTAATAGAATGTGATTGTTAATTCGTTATGGACTAAAAACCTGAAAGCGTCTATGAAATAACTATCTTTGATGAATACGATACATTTGACAGGGCTCATATCTAAGCTGAATAAATGGCCTCAATTATTTGTGTAAGGTTGGAGTCTCCAAGTGTAAAGCTGCTGGGGATCATCTTGGTCATTTCTTGTATTATTTATTCTCATTTATGAAGAAGTATTCATAATTTTCATCTTCATCTGTCATTCATAAATCATATCCGTAACCTTCACTTGTGCACCAGATAAAACGTTTACTTTATCGTACAATATTTTCTCGTTTCACAACTATCATTGACAATTTGGATAAACTTAGGTAATCTTCTTAATGAGTGTTTTCGTAAGCTTTATCGCCTTGTTGATAACTGTGTCGTTTGTTAATTTACATCCGTTTGGTAGATAAGTCTGACTCTATTTTATGATAATGCAGTTGCAAAGGTGACAGAATTTGAGTTTTGGGGGTTTGTCTTTGTTATGCTTGCTGCAGTTATGTCTGGATTTCGCTGGACTATGACTCAGATTCTTCTGCAGGTTGTATTTTGTGACACTCGTTGCATTGTTATCGTTGATTTCTTGTTCCATTGTTTTGTCAATAGTATGTTTGCTTACTTTGTGTATTTTCTGTTTGTTTTCCCATATCCAACTGGTTGTGCTGAACATAAAACTGGCATAAAGAAAGAAGCCTATGGTAAGGACTATGAACAACTCTTGGCAAATTTTAAATATTCTGGAAATGTTATTATCACCATCATCATTATTATTAGCAGTCGTAGCAGCAGCGACTGCACCACTACTTAGACTACATCAAATCTGATCTTGTTTTAAAAGGGCAGTCCGATGCACGAAGCATCTCACATTCACGCAGGGTCCAAGGTAGGGCCACACCTCAAGAGAGCATGATGTAGGCAGCCTACCCTGATACAAATCAGCGGCTAATTCCATAGCTCAAACCCTGCTTTGTCTTAGTCCTAGTTTTGACCAAATTAATATGTTGATTCGTTATTTGTTTTATAGTTTGTGAATAAATTGTGTAATGAAATGCATGCTTTGGTTATTGCAGGTCTAAAAAATCCACTCACACTAATGAGCTATGTTACTCCAGTAATGACTCTTTCAACTGCTGTGTTGTCCCTTATTTTTGATCCGTGGCACGAATTCAGACACACCAATTACTTTGATACGTCATGGCATATAGCTAGAAGTTGTTTGTTGATGCTTTTTGGCGGAACTTTGGCTTTTTTTATGGTATGTATGTGTCTAAGCACTGGTATCAGTTCAATTTGTGGATTTTCCATCTCATAGTGAAAATGAAGCCTTCTAATAGGCTTAGTTCGTTTAGAAATGATTATCAATTATTAAAGAACTTGGACGAACATAACGATAACTTCTTCATGCTTACCTAGCAACGTTTGTTTACTGCAGGTGTTTGTTCCTAGCACTTCAGTCGTCCTAAATCAAAACGACTGTATGTTTACTTAAGCTATAGTAGTTCAATCAAAATTGTTGATATCGAGCCATTTTTAGTCGAAAACGTGACTTTGGCATGGTTTAATGGCATGTGTTGAAGTCGTAATTTTTCCATTTTCCTTACTCAGGTATGACAAAATTACATAAAGGTAGCACAAGTGAAGATGAAACTGGATCACCATTAGGATATGCAGCTACCAAGTATGTTATACTTGAAGAAATGGAAGATCAAGACCATGGTCCTTGAAGTATTATTACATATGACATTCCAACTACGCTGCACTCTGATGGCGTTTTGTATTTGCAACGGAAGGAAAGGGACGAAAAAATGCATAGATTTTCTAGCAAATGAAGGTCAATCGTATACATGAGGAAGATTTCTTAATCAAGGAAGATGAGGAAGTTGAGATTTTTCGCCTAGTAGACTTTAAGACATGTTGCTTATAGAAGATATTAGGACTTGAAAAAGAAACTTACAAAAATGTTACTGGTTAAGAACTAACTACTTAAATACACTACATTACAATATTCGGAATTTTACCAGATTTTGGTGCATCGAGAAAATATGTACTAGGAATAAAATAAAGATTATTTCGCTCGATCTAGGTATCGCCTATAAGTTTCTCAAAAGATTATTTTACATGACATGTTTAATATTACAAAATTAAAGTGTATTTTGAAACATTATACATATTTTTAGTTTAAGATCATGAGATTTTAAAAGTCGTCTTTACTTTCTTATATCAATATTATGTATAACCAAGACATACAAATTAAAATTAAGGGAGTAACTTAATTAGTACTAATTTTTTTTTAAAAAACAAATTTACCACTAGACAGTGTCTAGTGGTATTTTATTAAACATAAAAAATATCAACAGGAACAAGTACAAGCAAGGGGGCTAGGCCTTACCTTACTAATCCTAATAAAGTACCTAACAAGCATGAAGAAAATAAGAGCTAGAGAGAACTAAATATTTTTTTATTATCACAAAGTTTGTAATACACTCAATGATGATATTACAAATGAGGATGCTTAAATAATGTAAAAGTATGTCAATCAAGAAGCAAGTTGAGTTACCAGCCTAAAACTTTCTATTACTAAAGCATGAATTAAAAAAGATTGATTATCCATCAAAAGTAACTTGAAGTATTTTTCTCTTGTCTTCTTCTTCAAACCTATCCAACAACACTTGATGATTCATACCTTCTTTATGGATTTATTGGATCTAGTTGAACCTATTGATACTGTCAAATGGTTTTGCTTTGCCTGTCACATTGGTAGGTGCCTTGGAACAAACTCCTCAGTCATTTTACCGTCCCAACTATGTTGCCTTCCATATGTCTTCTTTTTGCTTTTGTTGCTTCCACTTCTTTGTTGCCTAGGTGATATATCCCCTTCCTTAGCCACTCTATCAAAGCAAATGTCCAACATATTGTCTTCCTCATCTTCATCAAGAGAATCCTCACCCAAATTCACTCCATCTTCATCAAGAGAATCCTCACCCAAATCAATTGTATTTGACACTAAGACACTCGACTCATTGTTCCTTGCAAGCACACATTTAGGCACAAATACAAGAGCTTCTGGACTTAATTTGCTATTTAAAGCAGGTGGTGAGACTTGTTTTTCTTGGATCAAATCGTGGTCATTCTCTGTTAACCTTATTTGATTTGCTTGACACTATTCTTTTAGTACTGGATACATGACAATTCCAACACAAATGACAAACCCAATAACACAGATGAAAGGACAACTAAATTTCTTTTTAAAAACTATTTTAAATTACTCTATTAATTATTCTAATATATAATTTTTTTTTATCTCAATATATGTGATACTGATAAATTTTCGAGAATACTCACAACTATTGAATTCCACATGCAGTTTGTGTGGCTGTGTGCGGAAAGCTCTATATGTCTCCATCTTTTTTATTTCTTTTTCTTTATACTTGAAAATGTCGTTTGTTAGGTGGGATAAGACGTGATACTTTTGAGTTACTCTAGAGATAAAATTTATTTCATTAGTTGAGATATTTAATGAGAAAATTAGTTATCTCACTAATATATATAAAATAACTTATTTTATTATAGTAAAATAAATAATTTCAAAACCGACTTATGCTTCTAATTAAATGAAAAATAAAATTATTTATATTTTATTTTGAAATTATTATCTCGTTTTCTTGGTACCAATTTGATATGAACCGTTAAGCTTTTCCTCTTCAATTATTTGGGAGCACGCTTAGTTCTTATTTTTTGTATTATATAGTTTTAATAAATAGTGATTTTAGTGATAATTTCAGTTTTATTTTATGTGTTATTTGACTATACACATTTAATCTTAAATTATTAAAGTTGGGGTTTTGATGCCTGAAGTTAACAAAAGTTAACTACATTTATTTAATAAAATGATTATTTGAAAATATTAAAAATAGAATAAATGGTTGATGATTCTAAATACTTGAGTGAATAGATTTACTCCAGTCCCTTAGCAAAATTAAAAAAGCAAGTCATATCATCTTCCATTCTAAGTATTCGATTAAATTCCTAGCTAAAACGATAGTCTAGTTTTAGAATTTAATTACTCAATCACTTTTTTGTTTGAAGACAAGGTTAGAAAATTCGCAAAATCACACTCTTTAACATCTTGACACAAGCCTACTCTTCGTGGGATCAACCCAAATTTTTATAAAATAAGCAAAAAAATTCATAACAAAAATATAATATATTATCATAAAATTATTTTTAAAATCTACAATTTTTATTGATTGAACTTTAGTTTAATAAAAAAAATTATAATTAAATATTACTCCCTCCATCCTATTTTATGCGGCACTTTTTGGATTTCGATATTCAAACAAATCTATCTTTGACAGTAAATTTTTCATAGATCTTTTAAACATTTTGAATTATCAATTATTGTGAATTTTTGTACTTTCTACATAGTTTACAAATATATAAATTACATTTTAAAAAATTGCAGATTTCGTACGCAAATTTTCGGTCACACTTAAACTGTTTGACTCTCGAAAAATGAAAATTGTCACATAAATTGGGACAGGAAAATAATAATATTAATATCTAGCAATATTTAATAATTTACCGGTTGGTACACCTAACAACCTCGCACATGAATAGCAACAATATTTTAATAAAAGATCCGTACACATTTATGTAATCTGACTGATTTGAATTATGCGAAATAAAATTTATCTTATAAATTGAGATATTTTATGAGATAATTAATTATTTTACTACATATAAAAAAATAATTTATCTCACCATTATAAATTATATAATTTAAGAACTAACTAATACTCCTTATTATATTAAATAAAAAACAATTTTAAATTTTAGATCAAAATAATTACCTCTCTTTTTCCTCTTCAATTATTAGGGTCACGTTTAAACGACTTGCACAACATTTCTAGCTGTAATTGGTAGGTAAAGTCCTTCAGTGAACAGCTAAAAAAAACAAAAAAAAAAAGAATAAAGCATAGAACATGTGGGAAAAAAGATATTATTCCCTCCATATTATTGTGTAGGTGACATCTTTTCACTTTGACACTAAATTTAAAAAAGAAAAGATTTTGCAATTTATAATTTAAAATAATTTATAGTTATCTAAATATCTATGACTCGATTATTTTATTACATAAGTTTTAAAAAATGTTCTTTCTTACTTTCTTAAATTTAATGTTGATTTAAACTAATCTGGTCAATTTATGTAGCACTTTTCATTTTTTTGATAGTCAAATGGTCTAATAAAAAATTTGTGCATGTGATCTTCAAATTTTTTGAAATTAAAATTACATATTTATAAACTACGTAATAGTACTAGAAATTACAAAGATATATAAAAAAATTTATAATCAAAGATAAAATTGTTTGAATAACATTTAATTATGTGAATACTCCCTCCGTCCTATTTTATGCGGCATTTTTTGGATTTCGATATTCAAACAAGTCTATCTTTGACAGTAAATTTTTCATAGATCTTTTAAACATTTTGAATTATCAATTATTGTAACTTATAGTACTTTCTACATAGTTTACAAATATATAAATTACATTTAAAAAAATTATAGATTTCGTACGCAAATTTTTGGACACACTTAAACTGTTTGACTCTCGAAAAATAAAAATTGTCACATAAATTGGGACAGGAAAATAATAATATTAATATCTAGCAATATTTAATAATTTACCGGTTGGTACA